TCTACAAGCTTTATGGAAGAAATGGATGGTGGCTAGCAGTTTATTTATTTGAACACATGAATATTGGTACAAGAGAGCGCCAATATATATGCGCCACACAAAACAATGAGAATTCGAAGAGAAAAGAGAAAAAGGTAAGGAGCGTAAAAAAGAAAGAGAACAATAACGAAGAGATTGGTGTAAAGTAGTGTGGTAGTAATGAGAGAACGGAAAGGTACAGTCGGAAGAAATCTTTCAGGTAAGGGAGACACAACCACTTTTTATGAAGAAAGTAAAAGGTCACAGCAGGATCGCCACTGGCTTCTATTCTCAGCCATATCTGATAACGTCTCTAGCCACTGTGTAGCACCATCTCTCGGACCCCAACTAGGGAGCCGAAGACCAACAGAAGTCAGCCCTTTGCAGCTTTCTTTCATACCACGACACCATGTCATACACTGATCACCTCTACGCTTTTTACAACCAGTCCCAACATCGGCAAATAATGTACAACGAGGAATTCTCTGGGACGACATTCGTAGAACATGTCCAAGCTACCGAAGTCGATGTTTCAAGATGGTGACACCAATTGAATTATCATCTCTGTGCCCGAACACACGATGCCGAACCTCTGCATTACTAACATGGTGTTGCCATGGGATGTCAGCAATCCTTCGGAGACAACGATGATCGAACACAGAGAGTCGTCTAACATCCTCAACTCGGAGAGGCCAGGTTTCACAAGCATAGAGCAAAACTGCTCTCACCGACGCGTTGTAGATCCGACCTTTTACAGCCAGACTAACATCACGAAGGCGCCAAAGGTGGCCCAGATTGGCATAAGCCGCCCCCAAATGCCCTGGTACGGCCGAGAGTGCGGAGAGTCCGCTCTCCCTCTCGAAATGCTCTCACACGGCCACGCGTATATAGCCTCTGCCAGGGAAGTCCTACTCACTGCCTTTTCGTGGCGGGGGTGTTATTTACAAAAATGAGAGGATGAAAAGCGAATGTCCGGCGCTTTAACCGGATTCCAAACCAATGGTGCACATGGGCTCCAGTATCCTGCGGGAACAAATGACGTATGAACCAATTGTTGGTCACCGGCTTCCATGGGACTGCATCTCCTTACGATGCCCCACTGCCTTGTGGATCAGACCATTAGGTCAAAGGCTCGGGGAGTGGCCCCTTAAGAAAACCACCTGCTTCGGTCTGGGCACCCGGGCAGTATCATAGCCCTCACACATATCGAATGAGATTTGTGTGGCGCACATGTATTTGGTGCCTCTTTGTACCATTATCTATGTGTTGAAATAAAAGTAAAAAGACTTTCACTATACGTGGATTGATCTCATTACTCATGCCACCACCAGCACTTATGCAGCTACCCAGATACACGAACTTCTCGACTACTTCTATCTGCTCACCATCCAGCGTGAGTACAGGATTACAATCCTGCCAGTCTTGTAGAAGTACTTTGCAATTCGAAGGTGCAAAGCACATACCGTACCTACGGACACTGATTGCCGACTGATTAAGTTTGGAATGCATGGGGCTTGGGCATTATCACACAGTAAGACAATATCATCCGCATGCTCAAGGTCGGGAAGTCTTTCTCCAGGCAACAGATTCACGCCGCCATTGCCTACATCCATTATAGTTGTTTCCAGGATGTCATCGATGGTGGTGAAATTGGACAGCCCTGTCTAACCCCACTGCTTGAATGGAACAATGGAGAAAGGTGGTTACTGTTGTAACTCGTGGCCCGTGTGCCCTGTTAATGATAACGTAATGGTACTGCCAATTAGAGAGCAGTGAATTATCGATCGGACCAATGACGCGCGAAACCCGTACGAGTACTTATCGGTCCTGCTTGCTGCCTATCCCATCCAATTAGATCCAGAACACCAATCTCAGCCTCTGTGATATGAATCATTTATTTTAAACATACACGGTTTATATATCAACTAGACAGACCGCATCGTACCATAAAACAGGAAACAACATTTGTACAAGATTTGGCCAAATGTGGCTGTGAATGTGGGAGATAGTGATTAATAGACAGGGCATAATTCAATAATGGTAAATCGTAGAACAGTTCATAGATCAAAATAAAGCTCATAATAAGGGGGACATGAGTATGAATAGTGTAGTTATTAAACAATTATACGATAAAATACACACATAGTATTGGTCCATAAATGGATTCCAAAAGTTACCATTCATTATGCTTATCGGGACATAACAGTTGTATGCCCTCACTCTACCTGAGGTGTTTGTATATAGGGCTTTTAGAATGTTATTAAACTTCGCAGGCACAGCCTTCTTCAAGAGACAATCCCAGAGAACAGTTCTGTCCAACGAATTGAAGGCAGTCCTAATGTCAAAAATCTACGACTTTTGGCCTGTGATAAGTATGACGGTGTTCTAACATTTGGCGGAGGATATGATCAATACATTCTCGACCGGAATGAAAACCAGCCTGCTCCTCGTGAGTCAATTTTTCTCGGGTTTTGAACAACCTACGAAGTATGACGGAAGCCAATAGTTTGGACGCAATTGGAAGTAGACTTATCCCCCGATAGTTCTTGCATAGATGACGTGAACCTTTTTTAAAGATAGGGACGATTATCGACTCATTCCATGATGTTGGAACACTCTCTAACTGCCAAACTTTTGTGAACAACTCAGGCAGTTCCTTAACCAAATAGTCACCACAATGTTTAAAAAGGGCCGGAGGCAAGTCATCTGGACCCGATGATTTGTAGCACTTCAAGAGTTGGAGTTCCTTGACTCATTTGGTGGATCAGTCGTCACCGGCCATGGAGGGCAGGAAAGTCCGACCGATGTTGCAGGAGCAGCAGCCCAGTTGAACTGCCCTTCGAAGAATTCTGCCCATCGCCCAAGTCGTCGGTGGATGTTAGTGATTGGCATCCCATCATCCTCGCAGATTGTTTTACTCACACCAGACTTCTTGCTGCCAGTGGCTCGGATGAGTTGGAAGAGCTTCCGGTAATTACTAGATGCAGCTGCTGCTTCCAGCTCATTAGCACGCTCCGACCACCAGGCTTCTCGGTCCTTACTCAAGCTTTGTCCAATTTCATTACGTAACATCCTTCGTTTGTGGTTAAACTCACGGTCAACCGGAGTAGACCGATGGGTCTCGATGAGTTGTAAGGAGCCTGAAGAAACCCAGTGCTTATAAGCGGGACGTTTCGCTAAGCCTCAAGCGGCTTTAGTCGCCATTTCCATAGCGTCATGCAGTTGCAGCCAATGCTCATCTATACTCTACGAAAGGATGGTAGCTAGCCTAAAACCTAGCTTGGTTTGATACTTAGTTGCAATATAAGCTGCAACCAATTTACTGACATCAATCCGTTTTTGACGATCAATTCGCTGGCCACGGAAAAGTAACGTAAGATTGGCGCAGACCAAGGCATGATCAGAGTCCAGATAGGTACTCCAAAAGGAGCGGCAGTCTTGTACACAACCACGCCAGCGGTAGCTGATCGCGATGTGGTCAATCTGAGTCCATGCTTGGGATGCAGAGGGAGGATGCCAGGTGGCACATCGGCGATGACTGTGCCGAAAGTTAGTGCTAGCCAGAAACAGGTTGTGGTCTGTGCACAGTTGCAGTAGACGGTCCCCGTTATCTGACCTGCGACCAACGAGTCCCCATAGGCCACCTAAACGACTCTCTTCTGTGCCTAGACGCCCTGAGTCTTCGGCTAGTACTACAATATCTGTCGAACGCACTTTCTGGAGAAGAACAGACAATTGGTGGTAAAATTCATCCTTGATTGCATCCGGGCTGCAATCTGTCGGGGCATAGGCGGAGATGACGAAAAGACATCGTTCCTCACGCCGATTTCTGCTCACTTTGATAGGACTTTCTAATCTAACAGCGCATAACTGACTGTTAATGGGGATCCAGTCGATTAGTGCTGGCTCAGCTCTAGTGCTTAGTGTGACACCAACGCCAGGAAGACCAGACGAAGATGCCACAAGGTTCCCAGATAAGCGCACGTAAAACAAGCTTTTTGAAGTGACAGATGGAGAGCGAATTTGTAGTAATTCACCAGAGTCTTGAATACGGGTCTCAAATGGACAACAGACGTCGATATTAAGACTTTCTAAAGACATAGCCAGCCCTATCTGTTGTTCGACCTGCATAAATGTGCGAACGTTGAAGGCAACCAGTTTGAATGGTGCACGTGTTTTCAGAAAAACTGCTTGAGTATTCGTATTTGGTTGTAACATACAATTTTCAACCTGACAGTGACTCGAGAACGTTTAGATAGAACCGAGTTTCCACCATAGGTGAGCTGCTGTATAAGTCGAAAAATAAGGATACATAAAGTGGGAATAAAAGAGAGTGAGTAAATGACGTAGTAAATAATAATAATAATAATAATAATAATAATAATAATAATAGTGATAATAATGTGAATTGTTTGACGGTAAATCGAAGCGAGAATAGAATTTTCAGTAAATATAGTCATTTTCATTTTATTTGTGTGTGGGCTGTGATACTCCCCGGGTGCCCAGACCGAAGCAGGTGGTTTTCCTAGGGAGCCACACCCCGAGCCTTTGACCTAAAGGTCTGGCCACAAGGCAGTGGAGCAACGTGGGGAGATGCAGTCCCGTGGTAGCTAGTGATCAACAATTGGTTCATACGCGATTTGTTTCTTCAGGATACTGGAGCTTGTGTGCACCATTGGTTTGAAATCAGGGTTTCCCGGTTAAAGCACAAACAACTGTTGGGATGATTTTTTTTATGTCTTTATATACTCGAAAAAGAACAACAAAAACAGCATCCATATATAATAAGGTTACTACATATGATAAATCATTCTATTCAGAACATCAAAATACGACTGGTTAAGGCGTCTACGTATATCATACTACTTTTGCTATGAACATTTTCTTGAGAATCGACATACATCGTCAGACTAAAATATTGAAATCGTTGGAATACTTACAAACATAAATCTAATATTAGAAATAATATAAATTATACTTACTGATACTATATGGTATGTTGGATGTAGCAGATGCATCTGGGCATACTGGCATTGGAATATTTTGACTTGACATAGAGTATATATTTGAATTTGTCGCTTGAGTAAAAGGATTGGCAAAATTGGGCAACTGGGGCATAGGTATATTGGGAAGTACGGGTACAGAACCGGGTATCTGCCATCCGGTACCAAGCTGGGGTAGATACACATTAGAAGTTTGATCATTCGGTATGACAGGAATAGGAGGTTGTGATAAGGAACCTTACATAAAACAAATAGAGTAATATACTTGTGATTTTAATTTACAATAAAACAATGTAAATCGCACATTAAAGTAGGATAAAAAAGGATAGGTGGTTTAAAATTACTATAGTGACTAGAACTCGTATTATTAACTAAGAACAATAACGATAACCGACCTGGATAAGGCATTGAACCAATGCATTGGGGATTTGACGGAGGATTTAAAATTTGCCGTTTTGTGATGGGAGCAGATTTAGAAAACACTGGAGATGTCTCACCAAACACAGCCTGTAAAACTGATATTAATTCAACTAGATCTGCATCTGGCTGTTAGTTGTAAACAAAATAAATGGGGATTAACGACAAGAAACCAAACTCTGAGTGAAATACAGTAATAAAAAAATTATAAGACCACGAAATCAGTATTTTAAGTAGAAAAGTAATTAACATGAAATATTACTAGCTTTATACTGGTTAATTACTCTTTGATGTGGGTACTTGAAACGATAAAATATGTCCCAGGTTTTACGTTGCGTACGAATTACTGTATCTATTAATACATGCTATCCTGGTTAATATATTAATTATTATTGTGAACTTATCCTCTCCTAATCATTTCCAATATTGTAGTTTCGCTTGCTATGGTATATTTTGTATCAAGATACACTTGAAGAGCCACAATTTGTATCCTCAAAATAAAAGTGAAAAATATGTCAAGATGGATACAGAGACAGATAAAGATGAACCAGTGATAAACAGGGATGTGGTGTTTAATAATCTTGAGAAAAATAAGTTCATGCATTTGTTAGCTTTACAGGTGTCTAGTCGCACCACATAGGATAACCATAATACTTACTTACGCCATATACTGACTGCTAGTTTCCAAGAAATCAGATAGGAAGATCATACTTCCTTAGATTTATGTAACAGCAAATGACAAGAGTAACAACCGTAAATTAACCTATGCACTTTTTCCTAACCTGTTTCGTCTACAGTACTGTATATTCGTATAGACAGTGTCTTGGAAAGTAAAATATATCCTGTTCATTTTACCAGACCCATATTTACAACAATTGATCAAAACATTGCACCAGAAACACTTTGAACAACTGTGTAGTACAATAGAGTCTCAACAGGCAATCAGATATCTTGTTAATATGATAAGTAATGGAAGATAGACAACATAGGTTGTGATTTCTAGAATTTCACCACCAGCTGTTGGCTTGCAAAAACTGATACAAAACCTAGATAAGCGAAATAATAGATAAGTTGCTTTTCTGTAGTTACAGTGAGTACCAGAATTGACCAGTCCTCGATTATTATCTTGCATTTGGAAGTTATAAAATGTACTTTAATATTTTTAGAGAACATTCGAAAGGCTAGTTGGAGTTATATTAAGTGCCTCGTGACATATTGAATGCATTTATTTCTACCTTACTAACAGGAAATTCAGGTAGGTCTTTATTTCCTACTCAATCCATCTTATCTCACTATATCGTTAGGTTGGTCAAGCACCAGTAGCATCTATTAGTAACTGAATTATAAGACAGATCATACGACTTCCTATGAGTTTAAAGCAATATTGCTTCGATTTTTCACTCCTTATTTTCCTCATTTATTCCGGGCTGTATTTTTTACTTAGTATTACTATAATCATAATAATAGGATGACACTTTCTCCTCCATTTATTCTCCAGTTGTTAGTTCGGTTATAATGTTAATTTAAAGTGTAGCAGCTCGGATCAATCCAAGCTTTTTCCTAAGTTCTGTGTTATTTGTACACAGTTGGTTGACTGAACAAATGTTCCAGTTCAGCAGCTAGAGTTATTAGCTACTGTGATTAAGTCGGTTTATAAGAGTAAGCCTGGAAGTAACCACTCGAGATTAACAAATACAAAACTAATGATACAAGCACATTGGTATGCGTACTGGATCTACCCCTTTTGTTTTAGATCCATCGAACAAAAAAATGTTTAGTTGTACACAACAAACTTTCTATTAGATATATTTTTGTTTTCGCATAACCATACACGCAAAGCGGCTACTAAATTAAAAGACCGAAAAGCTAATTGCACAAATTTAATACGAAGTTTTATATAGGTTCTAAATATTGATATAAACCTACGGGACGAGATACCCTTGTTACTGGTAGTATATTTCACAAATAACACTGGAAGAATAATGACCACAGTATGTTTTTTGGTCATTTTCAAGGGATTCAAGAGATTATTTTTAAAGACAATCCAGTATCAGGAAATGGAAAGTACATTTAAGCTGTCCGGAGTACATTCAGCCATATAAATTTCCTATCAAAATTAGGGTGAGATTGTTGTGTTTTAGATAGTTAAGTCTAAAGGGTTACTACTTTAACTGCTTAGAAACACTCACATGTTTCCAGTCTGTCATGTACGGCAGTTGAACGAGACCAGCACTGTCAACAAAATCACTCGGCTTTATCTGCATAGTATTTGTGGGCCTCACATAAACCATAGGAGACTTGTGTGGATAAGCTTCGAACAGAAATATTGCAATCGGGATATTGTAAGTTGAACCCATATACCTGACAGGAATAGTGCCGTCTAAGCTCACGAGTCTCCGGGATGTTCCATCATTTTGGACTACATAGTACATTAATTAATATTTAAACTTACTGAAATCTTCGAACTTGGGACGTAATTCCTTAAATGCTTTCAGGGCACAAGTGACATCTCTACGAACGATTTGTGGGTATGTATACTAAAAAAGAGTTTAGATGATGCATAGTGAGGCTTCAAAATGTACTTTCGCCAGGCATTTAGCGGAAATCCATTCGTCGGCAGACATTAGGTAGGTGTCTAAATATGCCACACTTGTGAAGGTCGAAGTCTTCAAGGTAGCTCAGTGTAGCGGCCACGTCTAGCCAGGTGAACATGCGAAGGAAAGGAGAAAAACAAAAGAAAAGGTGAGTCGACGACCCACATGATGCGCTACAAGCACATGGCTTAACCCGCTATACTCCAATCTTTGTTCTTGGTGAATGATATATACGACACCAAAAACGATCAATAACATTGATTTTTAAGTCTTTATTACGATGACATTCACCTCCTCATTTTTGCCGCTAAATAATGTCTGTTTATCTTCCCATTATCAAGAAGGCCAAGTACAATATTTTTTTCTTAATAGGTACTTTGTGTTTTATATTTTCCAGATCAAGAGCCTATTCACTGAACTCAGATTTGAATTTTCTCGAATAATTTGATTGACACTGTGTTGCTTATCACTTCTGTTGTGATGTTTTTAATGTGTAGAAGTAGTCGAGTTACTTTAATTGTTCACATATTGAGGTGATTATTTTGATAAAAATTTCGTTGGTTTTTGGTCGGAAAGTATCATAAATTTGTCCATTGGTTTAAAAATGGTCATGATGTCACATCTCTGTTGTTACGACGTACGTGCTGCTGATGCCGTTGCAGGACTAGTGAAATGTCACTGAGTCCTAAACAAATCATCCTGCAGTCGGGCCACTGAATATCGGACAGTTCACCGATCCTCATCAAAATGAAGGACAACTAGCGCGCATCAGTTAATTGCATGTCATGGACTGGACCAGTTGGTGTTGGTCACCTGTTTCTTGTATACACTCTTACTAATATACTTTCGTAGTAACGTCATTTGTGTTGTACGGTTATCAAAATTCCCATGGTACCTGGATACGACGAAAAAGTGATCCGCGTTATATACTAACCGTGAGGTGTGTCTTTGACGTTAGCTGGTGAGTCTAAGTATACTAGGCTCTCAATCATTCGATACAAGAAATTGGCGATCTACACCATGAAACGTTCACTAACTCAACCGTTTTTTAAAAGCTTATTATGAATCAGTATTTCCACAGTTTGGTTCTTTTCCACCTGGCTAAACACATGTTTTCTCGATCTAAGGCGGCCTTCCTAAATATCTGTGCTACCTGTTCCTGCCATCTAGATATTTCAACAAGTTATAGATTTCCTTGTTTGTTTTAACAGATCATTATGTCTGTTGATTACTTAAATTAATGATATGCGTTTGTGGAAAGTTCGAGACCTTTTGCTGTACAAGTTACATTTGTAACAGCGTAGGTTGGTTGGTCAAGAGTTGACCTCAAACAACCAAGCATATGCCAAAACAGTACAGGTCAAGTATACATTCACTTCCTTACTTTGCATAGGCGTTATATTTCCTATTATCTTATATTGAATGTTGAGAGGCTTTGTTTGTCCGAACAAATAATCCCAGGCTCCACTGTAACTGCGCGAAGATGGAAATAAAGACCTATTCACTACTCGTCTCGTTTCTTCTAACAATAGCACGAGGGTTACCTTAAGGCACGAAACTGGTGAGCCCGACGTGATATTGATAGAAGAAACCAGACAAGTAGTGAATATGTCTTTATTTCGATCTTCGTGTATAATCGTAGACATCGTGATGGCTGGCAATATGCACTGGAAAGAATGGATATTATTCAGACGTCGACTTCTGAAATGCTAATATCCAACTAGCGGCCACTCAGTATTTATCGTCGATATCCATCAGGAAATAAGAAACAGAATCTCGCTGAAATATTTTGTGCTGAAAATTCTATATTGTGCCAAAAATATAATATTGAGTTAAGCTAATAACAAATGAAAAATAAAGTAAATAAATAAATAACGTTTTGATCATTGGTGGACGATAAATATAACACACTCCATGCAGACTACTCGCCATTCAGTTATGGCAACTATCAAAGAGGTCCAAAGTCCTGGTCTATGATAGGAGAATTCTGAGTGAAACTCCAGCTAATGTCTAACTAGGTGACAAAGAAACTTGTCAAAACATGACATCAAAGGTGAAAAAACTGAACAGTTGTGTTTATATATATTTCATACTGATGTGTGAGCGAGAATGATGATTAGTTGGTTGCTTAGTGTTAGAACGCTCGGTTTTACTTATCAAATGTTATAACGGTTGGGTTTCCACTTTTACACGTATGGGACGTTAATTTACCTTAGACGAACATCTACACTAGATTCCCTCCCAGTGTCGATTCTACAGGACGTCAACACAAATCAGATCAAGAACACGTAGTTAGCCTGACCACAACGTAAATATACTTCCACACCAAAACCCAACACAATCAAACAACAATGAACAATCAATAATAAGTGAGTCCTAATAATAATAATAAGGATAAGGAAATATATAACTCATCTGACACCTGTCAGACTATCTACATGTCTGGCTACGCAGACAACCAATCACTGTCATCCTCGCCCACACATCACATAGACTTATAGAAGGTCGAACACGCCTTATATGAGTTATATATTCTCCTATCCTTATTATTACTGTGATTGCTTTTGGATTACGTCGGATTGTTGTCGATTTTTGGTGTGGAAATATGTTTTCATTCTAGTCAGGCTAATAACGTGTTCTCGATCTGAGTTGTTTTATCTCCTGTAGAATAGATACTGTGAGGGAATCTAGCGTAGATATTCGTCTAAGGCAAATTAGCGTCCCACTGGTGTAGATGACAAAACCGTGTGTATTATACATACCAAGCGGCTTCGATGTGTTAGAAAGACACTGGTTGTTCAGGAAAAATCCTAATGAGTTGCAATTCCTTGTTAAAAACAATTAGTCACTAAAATCTACCTAATATTTCTACAGGCTAAAACTTAGAGGCCTATAGAGAATTACATTATTTTGACTTGGCCTGATGATTTATTAGAGGCATGATCAAAAGCCATGAATTGTGTTCAGATATATTCAATCTCATTTCTGTTTATATTCCTGTAAGCTGAAGAAGTTAACTTAGTGCTAACCAACTGTATGTTTTCAGTGTTAAGAGTTCTGTACTCGACATTTTTGTAAGCACCTCCTAAGACCTCTAGGTTCTATACATTGGTTTTGGATAGTGACTTTTCGCCACAGAGCTTAGAGCTAGTTCTTGGTAGTGGGAAGTCTGGCAACCCCAAATTAAGTATATTGTCAAGGCCTGATAACGCCCTTTAGCTTTATTCACGATTTGATTGTTTTTGAACGAGAAGCATAGTTATTATGACATCAAAATTTCTTAGTGTTGATATATTTCGGTAAAACAAAAGCATCACCTGTCGAAAGATCTATACAAGTCATAAAGTTCTGCACATTGCTTTTTTCAGAAAATCTCTAATTCCTTCAGGTAGTTGGAACTTCCGTTTAGTCTCTTTATTTAATGTCTGTTGCGAGACGTAACAGATTTTTCCGGGTTGGAAAACAACTCATCTATAAAATCCAAGTACCTTGACAGTTTAGCCATTTTGGATTCTCTACAAACATTCAGCGGGCAGAAACTCAAAGGTTTTTTGATTCCGGAACACTGAAGCCACATTCTCGCAGCGATCGATACTGAACCTCAATCAACAACAGTCTAAACCCTGGATACATTGTCCGAATTTCGTATTTTAAATGTATAGTTGTAACAAATGCTGTTCTAAGACCGTAAACGCTTTAACACTCTCAGGCGCACATTACGGGTAAGCAAACAACAACGATAAATTATACATTAGTATAAGCAGCTATATTTGTGTCAAGCATTTGATTAAAATCACATCCGTCTTTAGGAGCTGGACTGGTTCAAAACAAAAAGTTAGAAACTTGATGCTGTAAAAATACACGTGAGCTGATTGTTCTCAGATAACCAGGATACCTAGCAGACATAAAATTTCGTACATATTGGAACAAGACTAATATTAGTAACCTGTCTGCAGCATTTTTTCATCTTCGTTAAGACAGCTACCCATTAGGTAAATGACGATGCAGTAAATTTTGCTTCAATCACACGGTCTTTGAAGCTGAACATGCAGTAACTGGAAAGAATTACATTAGCCGTTGAACATCTGGCGAAAGTCAGTTAAAGTCAAAATGAGAATATTTAATCGAGACAACACAGCTAGACCATGACGGCGTGGTCACTTTATTCATCTCCTCGCTCTTTATGTTATATAAATCATTTTATTACCACCTTGAATACATTCTGTAATTGTTCTCTAATGAGCATACTACAAATTTTCACGATAGAACAAGTTAATATAGACAATGATTTGATTTTGACGTTAGATCATGTGGGTTAGGTAGCCATATCATGGAAAATCCATAGTCTTGAGTTCAGTCTATCATTATAGAAGCAGAAGTAGATGTTGGGGGAGGTTGGATCCCCAGTACTCACTTGGAAAAGGACCTAGTTTTATAGTTTTATTTAGAAAATTCGAATTTCTTCGTTTTCGTGCCAAAAGCGCCCTTTTCACCTTCACGTCGTATTTCCAACTTGGGAGAATCATAAACGCTATTGGTCCCTTGTGTCTTTTAGTATGCGATTTTGTGACGCTTCCCAAGGATGGTTTTGTGTTATATATATACGTTTTGATTTGTGTCTGTTGTTATCGCTCGTGCTTCTGGATTTTTGCGGAATATACTTCCCCGTGTCGACTTCGAATTCGCTCCCTAAATAGCGGGGCTGGGACACAATAGAATAGTTAGTTTATTAGTTTTTGGTCACAAGTCTTTGTTCCGTTCTCAGACTAAGTAAATTCCTAACCGCTTCAAACCTAGCAAATTTGGCGACGGAGTTGGCGCAAACATGGATCCTTCAAATGTAGAATTATTGCTCGAGCAGCAGATAAAACTAATGCTGATGTTAGCAGATGCAAAGCTTACGCCTAACATGCAACCAAGCACTCCTAATACTACTACTGCACCGTCAGTTGATGGTATTGCGAATAGTATCTCTGAGTTTCATCATGATCCTGATTACAATGTCACACTGATATGTGGTTTCGACATTATGAAAACTTATTCAAATTTGACTTCGCTAATCAGGATGACGCTTGGAAAGTTCGCTCGCTGCTTTGAAAACTGGGTTCTAGCGAATTAGATAGATATTGTAACTTAATTCTGCCTCTAAACCCACGTGACCGCTCATTCTTGGACACCGTCCAGTCACTGAGCCGACAGTTTGGAGATAACTCTTCACTATTCAACTCACGTTATCGATGTTTGAAGCTGGCTATGAACGAAGACGTTGATTTTCTCATGTATGTGAGTATCGCCAACCGCGAATGCAAACGCTTCCGGTTGAAGTCGCTGACTGAGGATCAATTCTAATCTGCACTCTCCAAACGCAGAAGTTTAGTGACATCAGAACACGGCTGAATAGTCCATTAGACCAAGACCCCGAACTGACACTCACCGATATTGGAAATGAATACCAACGTCTAATGAATCTGCAGTGTAACACTACGATGGTCGAGCGTGGTGGTTTAGGTCGTACCGAAGTCCATGTAGTCCAATAACCACCCAACCCGCATAAATCTGCCCAGCTACACCTTGTTCAGATCTACAGGCAAAAACAAATCCTCCTACCCTATGCTGGCAGTGCGGTGCATGGCATTTTGTTCAAAGCTGTCCATATAAACAACATCAGTGCACGTAGTGTAAAGCTCCAGAAGTACCAGGAAACCTGTCCCCAAATCCTGCACAAATTAGTTGAGTCTAGTAGCAACCTGCCAAAACTCAACCCCAGGTGAGAGGAAATTTATTACCCTCAATATTAATGGGCATTGTGGTGTTTGAATGAACCAATGATACCTTTATACTGGTTGGATGCTTGATTTCGAATTCTAAATACAATACATTCGTTGGTGCCTGTGTCTTCTTAATTCAATTGCGTTAATCCTGGAATTCCTAATTCATACGACAATTAGAACACTATATTGGCGTCGTGATGGAACCTGCAATGGAAAAGTTGGATATTCATTCAACTCCTGAAGCTTTTGAGGATTATTTGGAAAGGTTCGAAATTTGGAGCATGACCAAGAAAGATGTTAAAGGTGAGAAAATTGTGGCACATTTTCTGGCATTCATTGGGAGAGAAGCGTACAGCTTATTAAAAACTTTGGCGTATCCAGAAAAACCTATCTCACTCCCTTATGCAACTCTTAAAGAGCTATTGTTAAGTCATGTAAAATGCACCAGTTTTGAATGCCGTAAAAGGGCGAAGTTTCATAAGGTGGTTCGTCAAAATGACCAAGAGGCTCGGGAATTCATCCTTGAATTACAGAAACAAGCTGCCAAGTGTAATTTCGGTGATCAACTTCATGTGCAACTGAGAGATCGATTAATTGCAGGAATTAACATACCGAGTATGGAAAGAGAGCTGTTAAGAATGCCAAACTGTTCCCTTCAAGATGCTAGAACTGCATGTATTAACTACGAAGCAGTCAATGAACTTGATATCCAGTCGATGAAGATTTCTAATACTTTGCTTAGTTGTCGTGATGAACTACAATCTCAGGGCCAACTAAACTTGCGTTCATTTAACAGTGATTCCTATTCTCGTGTAAATATGAAGAGTGTTTCGACAAAGAATTACAAGGCAAATCACAAAGGTAAGATGAAGTTTGGTAAATGTCTATCATGTGGAAAGTTTCATGCTCGCAATTCATGTGTATTTCGTAATGCTAAATGTTTTAAATGTGGTAAGGTAGGACACATTCAGTCAGTATGCAAAGCTACTGTCCATTTTGCTTCAAGCTGTACTAAATCTTGTAATTTAAATTTCAATAATTCGGATGTTTCTAGTGATCATTTATCTTTGTCTACTATTTCGAAAGGTAATGCTCATATTCAGAAGCGACTATATACATCGCTTGGTTCATTTCATGACTTTATTTTGGACACAGGCAGTATAGAGTCCATTATTTCATTCAAGAACTTGAAAGCTTTAGATCCTAACGTTGTTGTACGACCCACAGAAGTATCAATACTGGGGATTACTGGACACAGACTGCCCATACGAGGATGCTGTGAATTGCTAATCAGAGATGATAAATCTTCATACATACCTTGTGAATTTTTAGTTAGCGAAACAGGACTGTCAATATTGGGTTTAAAGAATTTGAAAAGGCTTAAGGTGGAGTTGTCCTTCTTAGTTTTTAAAGAAAATTCTGATACTTTACTTAAAGATTTGATAGCTATGTGTGCTAAGTGCAGTGGAGGTATGAAAATTAAGCCTATAAAACTTCAAGTACAGGGTGATCCCGTCTTTCTTAAAAGACGAATAACTCCTTATGGTCTTCGAGAAGCAGTACATAAGACATTAAACGATTTGTGTGTGAAAGGCATAATTGAACCAATTCAGTCTTCAGCATGGGGTACTCCTATCGTTACGCCACTGAAGTTGGACGGCAAGACCCCTAGAATTTGTGGTGACTATAGATTAACTCTGAATTCCCGTTTGTTGAAGCAAACGCGCACGACGGTAGAAGCTGAAGATATTCTAAATCGACTTCATGGTTCTAAAGTGTTCTCGAAAGTTGACCTAAAAGATGCTTATCTTCAAATTCCTTTAGATGAATCTTCATCTATTTTGACGACAATTAACACTCCTTTTGGTCTGTTCAAATACAATTTCCTTCCATTTGGTCTAAGTTGTTCTCCAGCCATATTTCAGGAAGTTATGAATAAAGTAGTTAGTGATCTTGAAGGTGTTGAAGTTTATCAAGATGATCTCATTGTCCATGGCTCTAATAAGGTAGTTCATGACCAGAGACTTATTGCTTTATTGCGTCGTTTAATTGAGAAGAATATAACAGTGAATCCAAATAAGTGTTCATTTTGTGTATCTACTTTTGAATGCCTTGGATACCCAGTTGATGGTAATGGTTTTAGACCAGATATGAAACGACTAGCTCCACTGACTAATGCACCGTCTCCGAAAAATCTTACAGAATTACGTTCACTAGTGGGTGCTCTTCAATACTATTCCCGTTTTATTCCTAATTTTTCTTGTCGTGCAAATTGTTTATTTAATATTTTAACATCCAATTCATTCAAATGGAGTGAGGAACAAGAGTTATGCTTACGAAGTCTGCTGAAGTTTCTTCAAAGTGATGCTGTTCTTCGAACGTACTCCCCTAATGTACATTCTGTGCTTATTACTGATGCATCACCTGTGGGAATTTGTGCAGTTTTGGAACAGGAAGGTAGACCAGTTATTTGTGTTTCACGCAAACTTACTGTTACTGAACAAGGTTATTCACAGACTCAGCGAGAAGCATTAGCTGTGTTTTGGGCTGTTAAAAGACTTAATAAATATTTATTCGGAAAGAAATTCACTATTGCTACTGATCATGAAGCTTTAAAGTTTATTTATCATCCCGAAAAATCCTTAGCACGTTCCTCAGCAGCTATGGTTCAGCGATGGAGTATTGCTTTGAGTGCATATGACTATACGGTTCAGCACAGAAGTGCCAAACAGATTCAACATGTTGATTACATTTCTCGACAGTCATTACAAGATAAACCTATTAATACTTCGGATTGTTTGTTAGTGCAACCTTTACTAGTGAGACGTTCAGATCTCATTAGAGAAACTCGTAGATATTTTGGATGTATACTCAGTGCTATAAGGAAAGGTTGGAATGTTAATTTGAAACGGAGATTTCCTATCTATTTTTCAAAGCGGGATGAGTTATCTACTACTCCTGATGGTATTCTGTGTTTAAATGATCATGTTGTCATTCCTCCTTCATTGCGTAAATCTGTTCTTGAAGATCTTCATAGTGGTCATTTAGGTGTTGAGAAAATGAAATCCTTGGCAAGGCTCACATGCTGGTGGCCAGAGATAAATGCAGATATATGTCGTACGGCAAACAATTGTGAGAAATGTCATCAGTTGAAAAATCATCCTTCGAAGTGGGTGCCATGGCCAGTATCGTCTGAGGCCTGGCAGAGGATTCATGCTGACTATTGTGGACCATTTCTTGGTAAATACTACGCACTAGTAGTCATTGATTCTTTTTCAAAGTGGCCTGAAGTTTTTTTCACAACTTCATCAAATTCTGGTTTCACAATACAAGCATTAAGAAAGGTGTTTAGTCGAGAAGGTGTTCCCTTGGTGTTGGTGACTGATAATGGCTCACATTTTGCTGCAGATGCAGTCACTACCTGGTTGAACGGTATAGGGTGCAAACATCTATTTACTGCTCCCAGACATCCGTGTTCTAATGGTCAGGCAGAGAATTTTGTTAGGACATTAAAGACTGCTATTGATTCTATAGCCCCCTCAACATTTAATGAGCTGGAGAGGGGAGTAGATACCTTTCTACTGCAATATAGAAATACCAAACATTCGGTGACGAAGGAGACTCCAGCGAAGCTATTGAAAGGAAGAATTCTTCGGTCGAATATGAGATGTCTGGAGTCTGCAGAAGTTACATACTATCGAGGAAATGATCTTCGACCATCTACGGGTATTGTTCTGAAGAATGTCGGAAAATCGATGGTGCGAATTCTAGACATCAATGACTTAAGTACACGCAGTCGACATGTAGATCAAATACAATTTCAGGAACCAGGTGAGTCAGTTCCAATTTCGATTGTTAATTCTAATGTAATGAGCATGTTCTAGATAATACAGAATCCTTATCCAATACAATGTCAGACCGACTCAGGATGAATTTGAGGAGAAGACGTACGACTGATTACAAACACCTAGACTCCAATTTAAGCTGTGGCGGATGTGGTGTTTGAATGAACCAATGATACCTTTGTACTGGTTGGATGCTTGATTTCGAATTCTAAATACAATACATTCGTTGGTGCCTGTGTCTTCTTAATTCAATTGCGTTAATCCTGGAATTCCTAATTCATACGACAATTAGAACACTATAGGCATCCGTTTAGATTGGAAATAGACACTGCACCTGACGTGACAATTCTCTCACGAAAATCTTGGATCAGAATGGGCAGACCACACACGGTGCTAACAACACAAAAACCTCGTACTGTATGCGGTAATCACCTACGTTTGTTGGGACAACTAGATTGTACAGTGTCTTTTCACGACTCCACATTTACCAGGGTATGTTATATAACGCAAGCTGATCTAAATTTACTTGGTTTAGATTGGTTCGACTAGCTAGAATGGGTGATCTTATCCGTAACGCAACCATCTAAATTTAATGCATCGCACACTGTCGTTTGTGCGTTCAAGTAACCACAGATTTTGCCATTTCATAATGTATTTTTAATTAAATAACTAGATTACGTAATTAATTTTGATCTGTTTTTAATTTTTATTCGCCACGTCTGACTGCGTTACACTGTATGCCCATTGCACGCTGGGATGATATCTCAAGTCATAGTGAGTTTATTCACATAGTTGATTGTTTCTAGATAGACTGTCAGTGCATGATTTTACTGAAGAAAGGTTTGTTGTATTGTAAACTACGTTTCTATGAACAACTGCCTGTTGTCTTCAGTATGAAAGCAGTATATATGTATCCTTCTTGTTTTCTTAGGTAAGTTCAATTGGCCTATATTTCCTGTTTTGATTTTATCGGCTTAATTGTGCCCATTTAACTACTTTGAGCAACATGTCTTTGCAAGTGAAACAATAACTATGACACTTGCTTAGTTTAGTGTTCTTGGTTGTCGTATAATTCAGTTTAGTTGAAAGAATTATGATATACTTAAGTATAGTGCTTGAAGCCTGTAATGAAACAGATCAGTTTAGTAAGTAGAGTTGCCTGTTTCCAATGTGTATACGGATTCAGATCGGTCTGATTAAAAATAGGAAAAAACGTGCCTTTGATGCTGTTGCTGTCATACATTATAAGATAGCGATAAGTATGTTTGGTGTTTATTTCTAAACTGTACATCTATCACTGACCATATTTCATGATCACTGTCATTAAACAATTTCCCCAGCAATAACATCGGTAGCAAGTTAGCTAAGCGTCTGAGCTTTTAGTTGCCCGCAAAACAGCAGTATACAGTCTTAGAAGATGAGTGTTTTGTGTCTCAATTAAATGCAGCTGGCTGTGGACAAATGTTAAGAATCTTTTTGACAACTGGGACTTTTAGTTTATCAGACACTTACTCTGCTTGTATGTTTTCCTGTTAAACTAGACGCAGATGCATGGGAATACTTAAATGGGAGCAAAATAATAACAGCATTGCAATACGGTACTAAGCCCATGTTATGCTTTGCACAAGTAATAGTAGCTGACCTTATCTAATATTGATGAACTCAAGGTAAATCACAACTGCATAAATTCTTTGCTAAAACACATGTGATTTGGTTATTTATATATCCCACATTTCTGACTAAATTCATCAATATTTTTTCATTTAGAATGCAACAGTAGTCAGCCTTCACAGACATTAAAAACTGTTTCGCCCTTGGAACTGTTTACGGGAGATCCAACGAACAGCAGATGATAAAAAGGATGCTGGACTTCCATTTTAGTCTCACAACCACTTCCGGTATTTTGTGACTTCTTTTACTCTTTCGTTTGGAAAAAAACAACAAAAACTGCAGCTTAACATTACCAATACAACTTTTAAACGGGAACTTGGTTTAAACCTTTGTTTGATATTCCGTTCTTAATGAAAGTTCTTGAATAAATTTTTGAATCTAATGCTACTTTGTTTTATCTACATAATCGTTGCAAGAAACTTGTGATAAGCGAGCCTCTCAGCACCTAGTTCATGTGTTCAAATGGTTGTGGACTGAATAGAAGCTTTCGCTTAACAGGCTTCCGTGCCTAGTAGCAGGGGATCACCAATACCTCAAGGCAGGAAACTAGGTATGTTAACAATAAAAGAGGAAAAAGAAATCGGTAAATCATAGTATGATACTATACTTATTTCTTAAGAATAGATCCAGTTGCATCTTAAAGGACTCCTGGGAGGTCGCTTGGACTAGCTCGGCCGGCAGAAAATTCCAGCATTTGACAACTCTTAAGGGATAGAAGTTGTGCCTACAGTCCATTCTATGTTGTGTCTCTAGTTTCTGGGTGTTACCCCTTAGGTTAGTGTTGGAACTAAGCTTAATTAGGTTATTTAGGGGATGTCCAGGAGTGTTAAGGTTATTGTAAACCATTAGGTCACCTCTAAGACGTCTATACTCTAATGAGTGGAGGCTAAGTGATTGCAGGCGCTCTTCATAAGGTGATTTGGTGGATATCTTCGCCATTTCCTTGGGAGACCTACAGACTCGGGTCCTCTCATAGCTTATTCTAACCGCCATGGGTTGTCACACCAGCTAATGGATGGACACGCGTTACACATCCTAACCGTACCTGCTTCTTATCTTATAGCTTCTAATTCAAATGCCATATGACAAGCAAGCAATGCCCCTACCCGCACTAATGCAACACTAGTAACTCGAATGCACCCCGTATGGTACCTAACACTGGTTTACGCACTCGCTTAGCTCTTTAGTGAGAATCCCATGAACACCCCTACCTCCATCAAAACAAATAAGTCTGTATTTGCAGCATATAGCAATTTTATTATTCAAAAGTAAGATATAACAGTTAGAATTAGAGTAAAATGGCAGTATGCAGCAGATGCACGTGGTACATGTCTTCATCGATTAACTGAAATAGAGAATACGGATATTAGCTTAAAAGGCTTATTTAGAAAGACTAGTGTCTAATTTGAACTTACTGTGTGAGAAAGTTATACTGGAACTACGAATAATGTAGGAATCTAGTCTCCCAGGGCGTACGAAGCACTCAGACTGTAAGACAGTTGTCCAAAAATAATTCGAATATGAAGGTGAAAATTTGCAGGTACTTTTCATCATAAGGGTGAATATATTAGGTACCAGTTGACATCATACCGTAAGAAAACACAAATTTGCGAGTGGTGAAATATAATCTACAAAAAAGTGAGCTTAACAACAGTTAATTACCTTTTTACTCCCTGATCATGACCCTTCGTCTTCCTTTTATGGTCAAAACAGCAAACATACACTAGACACTGGTAGCAGATTTCCGGCTTTTCAATGTTAAGCTTGCTTTAACGCACTGAGTAATGGGTACGACCCCTCTGTTACTGTTATGTGGCATATTTTTTATAACAAGCCCTCTGCAATAGATTGGTAGCATCTGTGACTTAATCTATAATTGTCGGAAGTCTGGGTCCTTTCGAAATCAGTATCGATATACCCTACTGCTGGGCACTCTGTATTAGTTTGACTCGTTGGTGGGACAGTGTTGTCCATAAAACTGAAGAAAATTAAAAACCGCAGATTGTTTCCTTTCATTTTGCCGATAACATCATTAAGGACAGTTAGGAACGAACATGCGAACAGTTAGAGTCACAGGCGGCAGCAACAATTATTTTAGCTAAATGAAAACGAACTTCGGCTTCGGATATCTAGAAAACAATGTAAAACATAACCGATTGTCGTTAGAAAACGTATGGTCTTATGTTAGTACTAGCCAGCTTAGCTGAATAAATACAGTGACTTCATTAGCAGCAGGTAAAACCCAGAAAACAAAGCAAAATCAGGAAAAACTTTGCTCCAACGTTCAGAGTATTACACTAACTTCTGGATTTTAGCACATTGGAACATCAAATTCTGTAGCTACACAAAAGAAATAGCGGAAAAAAACAGAGAACGAAGAAAGCCGGCGGACATTTTATAACACAAGACTAGCTAGATTGCCCGAAGAAATACATTGACTTGAGTAGAAGCAGCAAAAACCCAGAAAACATCGCTGATTCGAAATAAACTTCACACCAGCATATAGGACATCACACTAAATGCGGCATTTTAGCACACTGAGACATTAAATTACATAGCTACACAAAAGAATTAGCTGAAAGAAGCACAGAACGAAGAAAGCCGACCGCCATTGCTTACAGAGATGGCGGATGCAACAATTCCCGCCTCATCCGGATTGTTTGCTAAGCTGAAGGGCACATTTACGAAATTGAGTTGCATTTAATTGCAGCCGCTAGAATTAGCTGATTTTCTGATAAATACCATATGCCACCTGGTATCACAACCACATGACCCTGAAGCATATACGAGGAAGCAAAAGTCGCAGTTTTCATCTATTTTCCAACCTGGATCGGGTCGGTCTTTTGCCTTGAAAGCAATGCTTTGGTTGAAACCTGGGGTTAAGCCTGTTTTCCGCCCAAAAAGACCTGTGTCTTACGCAACATTACCAACAGTAGATGAAGAATTGAATCGCTTCCAACAACAAGTAGTTATTAGCGCGTTTTCTACTCTGCTTGGGCAGCACTTATAGTTGTTATCAAGAAGGCCAACAGCAGGATATGTATGTGTTCTGACCTTCCTACAGGTCCGAAACAGCATCATTATCCTCCTCCAGTTCCGCATATCTCTTTACTATGCTAGATGAGGGAAAGTTTTTCGCAATACTGGATCTAGCTGATGCTTACTTGCAAGTGGAAGTAGATGAAGCATCAAGAGAGCTGTTTACTATCAATACTCATCGTGGGTTGTTTCAGTATAACCATCTGTCTTTTGGAGTCAAGACTGCCCCATCTAACTTCCTGCAACTGATGGATGCCATACTATCTCGGGAGTCGAGGTTTATCTCGATGACATCTTAGTTGTTGTGACGACATTAGAGCAGCTACAGGAACGCACAACATTGCTGCTGCAAAGCATCAGTGACAGTGGGTTCCGGTTACACCCAGAGAAATGCCAGTTTTTATTGCAGTCAGTAAATTATTTGGGGTCCATTTTTGACGCTGACGGACGCAGACTGGATCCTGAGAACATTCGAACTATCAAACTGATGCCCGCTCCCACCAATGTCTCGGCACTACGTTCCTTCATGGGAACTTGTTACATATTACGCAGCGATCTTTCCTTCGATGCATGATATTCGCGCCCCATTGAATCGTCTGCTGAAGAAGAACAGCACATGAAACTGGAATAGAGAGTGTGATGCGGTGTTTTGTAAACTCAAGTTCATAATTAGCTCGGAATTGTTAACGCACTACGATCCATCTATGCCAATCATCGTAGCTACAGACGCCTCAGCGTATGGCCTAGGTGCTGTTATTACACATCAGTTTCCAGATGCGTCAGAAAAAGCTGTTATGCATGCATTCCGTACACTAATCCCTGCAGAAAAGAAATGCAGTCAGATAAAAAAGAGGCCCTTGCACTTGTATTTGCTGTTCGACGTTTCCACAAGTTTCTGTACGGTAGGGGATTTACGCTTCTCACAGATCACAAGCCCCTGCTCGCAATACTCGGGTCGAAATCTGGCATTCCTGCCCATTCTGCAAATCGTCTTCAGCGATGGGCCTTGGTACTCTTAGGGCATGATTTCGAGATGCGATACCGACGCACTCAGCAACTCGGTCAGGCAGATGCTTTTTCACGACTCATTAATGGTCAATTGACGGTTAAGGAAAACATGGTAATCGCATCTCTGTCAGCGGAAGACCACGCGGAATATTGTATGACAACCGCGATACGGGCATTTCCGGTGTCTGCAACAGACATACGAAACGCTTCCAGAAATGACCACATCACCAAGATGGTGATGAGTTATGTCACCAATCGTTGGCCGTGTAAGGAGTTTGATGGTGACATGAAACAGCTGTATCAGATGCGGGATTCACTGTGCATTATAAACGGCTGCTTGGTGCTTGGAGAAAGAGTGGTTGTGCCAGAGACCTTTCGCGCAAACGTGCTGAAACAGTTCCACCTTGGTCATCCGGGGGTTAGAAGAATGAAATCCATAGACAGGAGTTATCCATACTTGTCCCTAATGGATCAACATATCACTGGGTTGGTTGGAAAATGCATTCGGTGCCAGCAAGCGGCGAAGGTGGATGCCAAAGTCCCGCCAGTTTCATGGCCACAACCTGATCATCCTTGGTCCAGGATACACGTCGACTTCGCGAGCCTAATTAATGGGACTATGTATTTAGTTGTGGTCGATGCCTTTTCGAAACGGCCAGAAATCAGTCATGTAATGCCGCCCACGACAATTACAACAATACAGCTCCTCACTGAAGTTTTCTCCCGAAATGGCATGCCAGATGTTATTGTATCTGAAAGCGGATCGCAATTTACCTCTAGCCAGTCACAAGCTTTGTGTCAACGGCTAGCCATCAAGCACTTGCGTTCGCCACCAAACCCCCCGCAGTCGAATGGGCAGGCGGAAATATTTTTGGGTACGTTTAGAAGAGCATTGGTTAAATCGAAAGAGGAGGGGACACCAACCGACACATTACAAAATTTCTTGTTCGTTTACCGGACAACACTGAATGAGACGGTGTTGAAGCAAACGTCCCCAGCAGAAATCCTGATGGGAAGAAGACTGAAAACGATTCACAGCCTAATGCATCAACACCAGTACAGACAAAGTCTGAAAAGCAGTCCACGTACGGAGTGGGATGTTCTGTGTTTGCCCGTGACTACAGAGCAACCCATGGTCCATGGACAGAAGCGTGAGTGGTCAGAAGAGTAGGCCGTGTCATGTACGAAGTAGAGGTAGGAGGCAACAGATGGTCAGGCCATCAGAATCAGATACGCAAACGGTTAGCTCCAGACCGCCCACCGACAGGAGTAAATCCTCAACTTAACATTCTGCTTGATAACTTTAACTTACCGTTAGCCCCACCAAAACAGAAAGCTCGAAAACATGCTGATCTCCGTTCCACAAGGAGGCCTATCTGAGAGCGGCGAACAAAAGTCAAGATGCAAGTCGACCCCAGGAAAGTACATTATTAAAAAAAGAGGTGTACTGGGGACGTTAGATTCCTAGTACTCACTTGAAAAAAGGGCTAATTTCGGAATTCCATATATAAAATTCGAATTTCTTGTTTATGTCACATGTTATCGCGCGGGCATCTGACTTTTCTGTGAAATATAATTCTTCACTCGGAATTCGAATGATCTCTCTTGTAAGTGAGTCTGAGACGAAAAAGAATAGTTAGTTTATTGACCTTTAGTGACAAGTCTTCGATTTGTTCGCAGTCTAGGTGAACACGTAATCGATTAAAAATATAGCACCTAATACAAACATCACCGAGCCGGCGACCAACCGCGTTAATGTCCAAATTCAGTTAATCCACGAAACTCAGAGACACATCCAACATTGTCTTCAGTCAGTTAAAATCTCACAAAAGAAAAGGTTGAATTCCACTGGTCAACACTTCTCAATAGAAAACAGGGAAACATCTCTTGAAGATAGTCACTACTGAGCACAAGAAATAGATAATAGTCATGATAATGATGACGACAATCTAATTTACGGAGACCCAAATAATTTCATAAGTTGAGATCATGAATCAATAAAAGCAAGAAAAGCATGAAAAACTGGAAGCATTGGAAGACCGATAAGGCATATAGCGCGAGAACTGACGAATGTTCAACGCCCAGAGATTCCAACCATTCAATGGAAACACATATCACAAATTATTTCAGTCATCATCATCATCATCATCATCATCATCATCATCATCATCATCATCATCATCATCATCATCATCATCATCATCATCATCATCATCATCATCATCATCATCATCATCATCATCATCATCATCATCATCATCATCATCATCATCATCATCATCATCATCATCATCATCATCATCATCATCATCATCATCATCATCATCATCATCATCATCATCATCATCATCATCATCATCATCATCATCATCATCATCATCATCATCATCATCATCATCATCATCATCATCATCATCATCATCATCATCATCATCATCATCATCATCATCATCATCATCATCATCATCATCATCATCATCATCATCATCATCATCATCATCATCATCATCATCATCATCATCATCATCATCATCATCATCATCATCATCATCATCATCATCATCATCATCATCATCATCATCATCATCATCATCATCATCATCATCATCATCATCATCATCATCATCATCATCATCATCATCATCATCATCATCATCATCATCATCATCATCATCATCATCATCATCATCATCATCATCATCATCATCATCATCATCATCATCATCATCATCATCATCATCATCATCATCATCATCATCATCATCATCATCATCATCATCATCATCATCATCATCATCATCATCATCATCATCATCATCATCATCATCATCATCATCATCATCATCATCATCATCATCATCATCATCATCATCATCATCATCATCATCATCATCATCATCATCATCATCATCATCATCATCATCATCATCATCATCATCATCATCATCATCATCATCATCATCATCATCATCATCATCATCATCATCATCATCATCATCATCATCATCATCATCATCATCATCATCATCATCATCATCATCATCATCATCATCATCATCATCATCATCATCATCATCATCATCATCATCATCATCATCATCATCATCATCATCATCATCATCATCATCATCATCATCATCATCATCATCATCATCATCATCATCATCATCATCATCATCATCATCATCATCATCATCATCATCATCATCATCATCATCATCATCATCATCATCATCATCATCATCATCATCATCATCATCATCATCATCATCATCATCATCATCATCATCATCATCATCATCATCATCATCATCATCATCATCATCATCATCATCATCATCATCATCATCATCATCATCATCATCATCATCATCATCATCATCATCATCATCATCATCATCATCATCATCATCATCATCATCATCATCATCATCATCATCATCATCATCATCATCATCATCATCATCATCATCATCATCATCATCATCATCATCATCATCATCATCATCATCATCATCATCATCATCATCATCATCATCATCATCATCATCATCATCATCATCATCATCATCATCATCATCATCATCATCATCATCATCATCATCATCATCATCATCATCATCATCATCATCATCATCATCATCATCATCATCATCATCATCATCATCATCATCATCATCATCATCATCATCATCATCATCATCATCATCATCATCATCATCATCATCATCATCATCATCATCATCATCATCATCATCATCATCATCATCATCATCATCATCATCATCATCATCATCATCATCATCATCATCATCATCATCATCATCATCATCATCATCATCATCATCATCATCATCATCATCATCATCATCATCATCATCATCATCATCATCATCATCATCATCATCATCATCATCATCATCATCATCATCATCATCATCATCATCATCATCATCATCATCATCATCATCATCATCATCATCATCATCATCATCATCATCATCATCATCATCATCATCATCATCATCATCATCATCATCATCATCATCATCATCATCATCATCATCATCATCATCATCATCATCATCATCATCATCATCATCATCATCATCATCATCATCATCATCATCATCATCATCATCATCATCATCATCATCATCATCATCATCATCATCATCATCATCATCATCATCATCATCATCATCATCATCATCATCATCATCATCATCATCATCATCATCATCATCATCATCATCATCATCATCATCATCATCATCATCATCATCATCATCATCATCATCATCATCATCATCATCATCATCATCATCATCATCATCATCATCATCATCATCATCATCATCATCATCATCATCATCATCATCATCATCATCATCATCATCATCATCATCATCATCATCATCATCATCATCATCATCATCATCATCATCATCATCATCATCATCATCATCATCATCATCATCATCATCATCATCATCATCATCATCATCATCATCATCATCATCATCATCATCATCATCATCATCATCATCATCATCATCATCATCATCATCATCATCATCATCATCATCATCATCATCATCATCATCATCATCATCATCATCATCATCATCATCATCATCATCATCATCATCATCATCATCATCATCATCATCATCATCATCATCATCATCATCATCATCATCATCATCATCATCATCATCATCATCATCATCATCATCATCATCATCATCATCATCATCATCATCATCATCATCATCATCATCATCATCATCATCATCATCATCATCATCATCATCATCATCATCATCATCATCATCATCATCATCATCATCATCATCATCATCATCATCATCATCATCATCATCATCATCATCATCATCATCATCATCATCATCATCATCATCATCATCATCATCATCATCATCATCATCATCATCATCATCATCATCATCATCATCATCATCATCATCATCATCATCATCATCATCATCATCATCATCATCATCATCATCATCATCATCATCATCATCATCATCATCATCATCATCATCATCATCATCATCATCATCATCATCATCATCATCATCATCATCATCATCATCATCATCATCATCATCATCATCATCATCATCATCATCATCATCATCATCATCATCATCATCATCATCATCATCATCATCATCATCATCATCATCATCATCATCATCATCATCATCATCATCATCATCATCATCATCATCATCATCATCATCATCATCATCATCATCATCATCATCATCATCATCATCATCATCATCATCATCATCATCATCATCATCATCATCATCATCATCATCATCATCATCATCATCATCATCATCATCATCATCATCATCATCATCATCATCATCATCATCATCATCATCATCATCATCATCATCATCATCATCATCATCATCATCATCATCATCATCATCATCATCATCATCATCATCATCATCATCATCATCATCATCATCATCATCATCATCATCATCATCATCATCATCATCATCATCATCATCATCATCATCATCATCATCATCATCATCATCATCATCATCATCATCATCATCATCATCATCATCATCATCATCATCATCATCATCATCATCATCATCATCATCATCATCATCATCATCATCATCATCATCATCATCATCATCATCATCATCATCATCATCATCATCATCATCATCATCATCATCATCATCATCATCATCATCATCATCATCATCATCATCATCATCATCATCATCATCATCATCATCATCATCATCATCATCATCATCATCATCATCATCATCATCATCATCATCATCATCATCATCATCATCATCATCATCATCATCATCATCATCATCATCATCATCATCATCATCATCATCATCATCATCATCATCATCATCATCATCATCATCATCATCATCATCATCATCATCATCATCATCATCATCATCATCATCATCATCATCATCATCATCATCATCATCATCATCATCATCATCATCATCATCATCATCATCATCATCATCATCATCATCATCATCATCATCATCATCATCATCATCATCATCATCATCATCATCATCATCATCATCATCATCATCATCATCATCATCATCATCATCATCATCATCATCATCATCATCATCATCATCATCATCATCATCATCATCATCATCATCATCATCATCATCATCATCATCATCATCATCATCATCATCATCATCATCATCATCATCATCATCATCATCATCATCATCATCATCATCATCATCATCATCATCATCATCATCATCATCATCATCATCATCATCATCATCATCATCATCATCATCATCATCATCATCATCATCATCATCATCATCATCATCATCATCATCATCATCATCATCATCATCATCATCATCATCATCATCATCATCATCATCATCATCATCATCATCATCATCATCATCATCATCATCATCATCATCATCATCATCATCATCATCATCATCATCATCATCATCATCATCATCATCATCATCATCATCATCATCATCATCATCATCATCATCATCATCATCATCATCATCATCATCATCATCATCATCATCATCATCATCATCATCATCATCATCATCATCATCATCATCATCATCATCATCATCATCATCATCATCATCATCATCATCATCATCATCATCATCATCATCATCATCATCATCATCATCATCATCATCATCATCATCATCATCATCATCATCATCATCATCATCATCATCATCATCATCATCATCATCATCATCATCATCATCATCATCATCATCATCATCATCATCATCATCATCATCATCATCATCATCATCATCATCATCATCATCATCATCATCATCATCATCATCATCATCATCATCATCATCATCATCATCATCATCATCATCATCATCATCATCATCATCATCATCATCATCATCATCATCATCATCATCATCATCATCATCATCATCATCATCATCATCATCATCATCATCATCATCATCATCATCATCATCATCATCATCATCATCATCATCATCATCATCATCATCATCATCATCATCATCATCATCATCATCATCATCATCATCATCATCATCATCATCATCATCATCATCATCATCATCATCATCATCATCATCATCATCATCATCATCATCATCATCATCATCATCATCATCATCATCATCATCATCATCATCATCATCATCATCATCATCATCATCATCATCATCATCATCATCATCATCATCATCATCATCATCATCATCATCATCATCATCATCATCATCATCATCATCATCATCATCATCATCATCATCATCATCATCATCATCATCATCATCATCATCATCATCATCATCATCATCATCATCATCATCATCATCATCATCATCATCATCATCATCATCATCATCATCATCATCATCATCATCATCATCATCATCATCATCATCATCATCATCATCATCATCATCATCATCATCATCATCATCATCATCATCATCATCATCATCATCATCATCATCATCATCATCATCATCATCATCATCATCATCATCATCATCATCATCATCATCATCATCATCATCATCATCATCATCATCATCATCATCATCATCATCATCATCATCATCATCATCATCATCATCATCATCATCATCATCATCATCATCATCATCATCATCATCATCATCATCATCATCATCATCATCATCATCATCATCATCATCATCATCATCATCATCATCATCATCATCATCATCATCATCATCATCATCATCATCATCATCATCATCATCATCATCATCATCATCATCATCATCATCATCATCATCATCATCATCATCATCATCATCATCATCATCATCATCATCATCATCATCATCATCATCATCATCATCATCATCATCATCATCATCATCATCATCATCATCATCATCATCATCATCATCATCATCATCATCATCATCATCATCATCATCATCATCATCATCATCATCATCATCATCATCATCATCATCATCATCATCATCATCATCATCATCATCATCATCATCATCATCATCATCATCATCATCATCATCATCATCATCATCATCATCATCATCATCATCATCATCATCATCATCATCATCATCATCATCATCATCATCATCATCATCATCATCATCATCATCATCATCATCATCATCATCATCATCATCATCATCATCATCATCATCATCATCATCATCATCATCATCATCATCATCATCATCATCATCATCATCATCATCATCATCATCATCATCATCATCATCATCATCATCATCATCATCATCATCATCATCATCATCATCATCATCATCATCATCATCATCATCATCATCATCATCATCATCATCATCATCATCATCATCATCATCATCATCATCATCATCATCATCATCATCATCATCATCATCATCATCATCATCATCATCATCATCATCATCATCATCATCATCATCATCATCATCATCATCATCATCATCATCATCATCATCATCATCATCATCATCATCATCATCATCATCATCATCATCATCATCATCATCATCATCATCATCATCATCATCATCATCATCATCATCATCATCATCATCATCATCATCATCATCATCATCATCATCATCATCATCATCATCATCATCATCATCATCATCATCATCATCATCATCATCATCATCATCATCATCATCATCATCATCATCATCATCATCATCATCATCATCATCATCATCATCATCATCATCATCATCATCATCATCATCATCATCATCATCATCATCATCATCATCATCATCATCATCATCATCATCATCATCATCATCATCATCATCATCATCATCATCATCATCATCATCATCATCATCATCATCATCATCATCATCATCATCATCATCATCATCATCATCATCATCATCATCATCATCATCATCATCATCATCATCATCATCATCATCATCATCATCATCATCATCATCATCATCATCATCATCATCATCATCATCATCATCATCATCATCATCATCATCATCATCATCATCATCATCATCATCATCATCATCATCATCATCATCATCATCATCATCATCATCATCATCATCATCATCATCATCATCATCATCATCATCATCATCATCATCATCATCATCATCATCATCATCATCATCATCATCATCATCATCATCATCATCATCATCATCATCATCATCATCATCATCATCATCATCATCATCATCATCATCATCATCATCATCATCATCATCATCATCATCATCATCATCATCATCATCATCATCATCATCATCATCATCATCATCATCATCATCATCATCATCATCATCATCATCATCATCATCATCATCATCATCATCATCATCATCATCATCATCATCATCATCATCATCATCATCATCATCATCATCATCATCATCATCGTCTTCGTATGCCCACTGCTGACTGACTTGGAGAGATATTTCTTTGTGTTCTACTCGGTATAAGTGACCCATGTATTTCATCCTTGTCTTTTGTGAGATGCTAATTGACTGAATACAATTTTGGATGTGTTACTGGATTTCTTGGTGTAACTCTGTCCGTACATTTTGTCGTTTGTAAGCCTGCTCATTGGTGTAGATAATAATGTTCTGTGAGCGAGATTGATGAATCTTGGTTTATATTCTCTCGAGGCCGTATGGTGGATGCGCAGTTATTTGTTGTCGCGTAATTGGAGGAGAAGGCCTTTCAGTGCTTTCAGGTTTCACATGCTGCTTTAGCCTCAATTGGCTCATTATCTGAACAAGTAAAATTACTAAAATATCCATGAAACCCATTGTCATCATTATTATCATCGTCATCTCAAATAGAACAAATTATCCTTATCAGGTTCTACTGCTAATCACATTTCAATAATTTTGCAAAATAAATACTTGATTATACTGAGTATTTATAAACTCACTATTTTGTCAGTTAGAATATCAAGAATACCTATGAAAATCAAATTGTAATACAATTTTAATTAATTTTAATACTTTCTCTTTGTTTTACCAAGTGGTTCGTATTTAATTGTTCAGTAATTTAATAAATCCTCTTATCTAAACTAAACAACGTATATGATAACTCGGATCATTTTTAACACTTATAGATTGTGTACCAAGCGAGTAACATTTTTTAAAAATAAATACCTTTTCTATATCACACCATGAACAATTATGGTAGTGAAAAGTACTTCAAATGAGACCTTCTCGTCTTTAATAATAATATTTACAAAGCACAGTTAAAATGCAATAATATCTAGCTGATTGAATTTTAAATTGAACAATGGGCGATAACTATTCGTATATTACTCAACCAAGATACCTGAATCAAAAGAATATAAGCGTACGAATGAAATTTAAAGTAGTGACTGAAGGACCGTTAATCCACCTAAGACATAGCTGTTCATTAAAATGATAAAACAACTCCATTAGACTGGTGAATCATAGACAATGAGTGTAGAAAAGTAAAAGTAAATTAATTAGTATCCACAATAATCATTAAACATTACCTTATAGCTAAGTTTAGTCTTACCCACGAAAAAATAGAAAGTATTCATCCACAAAGAAAATAGCGGAAGAAAATAAAAGACAATTATGATTCATGACCCATTAAACTACACTTTTATGTATCAATTTTTCCTCCTTAATGCCAACCATTTTAAAACAAAAGGATACGGTACAGTATTACCCTACATATCCTACCTTATTCTATCTTATCCTAACTCATTAAAAAAAAATTCACTAAAACTTATTACTTCTCACAATAAAACATTAATAATTATTTTAAGCAGATTATGATTATAAATCGAGAAATAGTGTATCGTTAATGGAAAATTTATGTTTTCGCTTTTACGATAATTTATATATATATATATATATATATATCTGTTTGTAGATTTATTTTTCCACAAAAATTAAGCATTCAGTTCCTTATATCTACGTCTGTGTTGATTGACTTTTATATACTGTGCGCTTACATGGACCTTTGTATTATGCAAGCATTCGTACTGGTAGTACATGAGTTGTTAAATTTATTGTGTAAAAATATTCTTTGAATAATAAACATGAGACACATTGCTTTTTTCATCTGGTTTTTATCCTAAACGTTATTTTTCAGTCTCTAAATTTGTTTTTTTTTTCCCTAATAAGTTGGCTTTAAAATACAAATACTTTACAATACACTAAATGTATATCATCTGAGAATAATTATTAAGCAACGCAGAATCATCTCACTTATCCGAAGACTAGATAGTTTTGTTGTTAACCCAACATGAACCGTTTAAAATTGTACGGTTGATTATCTGTCGATCCGCAATCGATAGACATATGAACACAAACCCTATTTTCTACCTATAAAAATGCACAATTAATCACGTGACCAGACAACAACTGAATAAAAACGATCGACAGGAATACAAGGACAAATAAAGTTGACTGAACCTTTTAAAATAACTTTTATACAAAGAAGACCATCAGAACTGGGTGACTCAGTGCTTGTTCACTTCTACAGGAAGCGAATAATGTTGTCCAGAAAGACAGTGAAACCATTGCTATTAAATCACTCAACTCAGAGAAAACAACACAGACTGAAAATCGTCGATGACGTTCAAAACTAGAAAAAAACATTTGTCGGTATTCAACAACCTCGACACCAGTTTGCAACAATTTATGATAAAATCTCGTTTTCAAATCATGAAATTATGTATTAATTTCGTTAGTTAGGTATACTCAGAGAAAAATTAGTTTTTGTGAGTTTTAAAACATTTTTCAACATTTTTACGTTGAATTCCAATTATTTCAAGTCATGAAAAAAAGAATTTACAGAAGAATAACAGCTGTTTGAAATTATTCCACTGTGTTTCGTTATTGTTATGACTTTCCCTTCTAGCTAACACAGTCGTTTACTTCAATTTAATTTTTATTTTTTACAAAAGACAACTCTTAAAGTTTACTACATAGACATCGGTTCAATGAGTTTGCGTTTGTTTATGTACATGCGCGTGTTTGTAGGTAGTGCTTTTATTCACGTCAATCATAAGTTGAAAATAGTACAAGCAATTCACCATAAAGTATGTATGTACTACACATGCACAAGCATGCTTATCAGAAAAAATGAAATAAGATGACTTCAGTTAATTATATAGTTGTAACCAAACCTTGTAGACACAAATACACACAGACAGGAAAAACGGAAATGAACTTTTGTGTGAAAAAAAAGAATTTTTTCTAGAGAAAACGAATGTTCGAATGACACAATTATCTAAATGATGAGAAAATAAAAAGCTGAGAAATTAGAAAATAATTAGTGGATAGTAAAATGCACACGAAGTAAAAAAACTAAGGGGGAAACAGAAAATAATCTCACCTTTCTTCTTCCTACGTTTATCCTTGATTTTGGTTTCCTTTCTTTGATTAGTTAGTTAAAACTACACAAATTGTACATCTTTGTTTTTGATCACCTGTGTTATTTGTGTTTTCATAACAAAAATGTGTTCGTTCTTCTCTTTCTAATTTTTTTAGTTTTTATTCTGAACTTACAATCTGCCGTTCGAGTTGGCGGGCTTTGACGAGGAGTGAAAGAGTGTGCATGAGAGAGAAAGTGTTTATTTCTCTGTATTTTCCTCGCTTTCATTTGTTACTGTTATTGCTCAGATCGCTTCCCTCATGTTTCTTCGGTGTTTAGTCCAGTCTTTATTTTGCATGTTTCAATTATATGCTTCTGATTTTGATAATTTGTGTTGTTCGTTGGTTCTCCACATTTTCTAAAATACTCGTGGCTTATTTAAATTATATTATCATAAATCATAGGTATTTTTGCGATGGGAGGACGATATTGAAACTACTAGATAACTGAATACAGTGATAATTTGACCCTGTAGTTTTAAACTGTCAATTTTTGTTATTAGTCTGTTGTGCGTGTTATTACAACTTGATGTTCATGTTAGAAATGGAAAAGTAGGATGTGATGCTTTCATATCTTGTTGTTTTAGAGAGTCGCAGAGATTTTTGAATTCATAGTTCCATATAATGGACTGATTAAAGTTAGACAACTATTACAAACCAGGAAACACTCTACAGCTCTTTTTATCCTGAACTTCGCTCATAATGGAGTCTTGGATGCAATTTGCTGTGGAGTCCCATACTAGGATGAAATAGCTATCCACTGTTTTCTGGTTTTAACCAGTTGCCGAACTAAAATTAGTCAGTGACATAAATCTTCAAAATGAACAACTCTTCTTCTGCCACTTTATCTACTTGGAAGTGACAATCAGTATTTCTATGAGTCAGTTTTCCAGTGTAGTTGTTAATCTAAATAGCTTAGTACGACAACATAGTTCGTTTAGTGTTATATGGTCGGTAAAAGTTGGTAGACAATATTGGGTTTACGTCTTTATATGATAATGCTCGTCAGCATAACACCACTTTACTCTTAAAAAGATCGATTTGTTTCTCAATGATTTGAACTAACATCAAGTAGTGCTTGTCCAAGAATAATATGAAGAGAAGAGAAATCAATGGTGTAAATTGCAATTTAGAAAAAGTTTTATATTCTTTTGTTTCGGCAATAAAACAACATATACACTACTTTTGAAGATTTGTTATAAATTGGGAAAGAAACATCGTCTTAGATATCCGTCATCAATTATTACAACTAAGAGAATAGTTCCTATTTTATCATATTTGTAAGCCCCTTTCTCTAATTATTATGAGAAATGAGATCATGAAAATTTTATTACACATAATTTAAGATAAATAGACCTTGCGCCCTTCATAATATTCTCCGCTTGTGACAAACAATTTGTTCCATCTTAGTTTTTATCAGTATCCCCAAGAGTCCTTGAAATTCAAAGATATCTACTGTCTCATCGTTTCATGATTCGTTAAAATCGTGTTGACAAAAGAATTATTCAGATTAGCTTGAACAATGGTCTGACAATGAAAAAGATAACGAGAGACTGTAAATCTTCTATTTTTTCATCAACACAAATAACTATTTAACAATCAATTGAGCTGTATATCATTCAATCAACGTTGAAGAAAACTACTGATATGTTTGATTTACATGTAAAAAATAATTTTACTGACTGTATTATTTCTGTAAGTAGGTATCCAGATTTCATTAAACTAGTTTATCCCAGTTTTCGTGCAGATAATCTTGGTCACCTAATTATATATATACATATATATAAAGAGAGATAGAAAGAGATTGACAAAATTTATATATTCTGGCAGGATTCCAACACATACAAACCTACTCTTCGTAAAATCAGTTTCTGTCCATACAGAATGATCTATTTTTATATCCTAACGATTGTATATTTTCGGCATTCTTTATCATCATACTGTAAGTTATATTGATATGTATCTATTTGAGAGATAAAATATATTAAGATAAACCCTATCGTGTATTTTCCAGAAGTAATTATTTGTTTAAACCAAGACAAATTTGACCTAGCTCTTGTAATTTACATATTTCTCAGGTTAAATACTCGTTTTTTCATCCCATCATTTGTATTATGGATAATATCAGTTACAACAGTAAAATAATTTTATGAAATCTTTAGTACAAAAATTGTTTGCTTGTTTAATATAGCTTTTCTGGAAGAATTAGTTGTAAATATACGATAGCATTTCATAGGGTAAGTTTCGTTGCCTTGCCGATTTCATTAGTAGGAAAATAGTTCACCTGGAAAATAAAAAAATAATAACTTGGGTGATACATCGTAGATATTACTTTATATATATATGTATATATACGTTCTTCGTTTATCTGTGTTTTTAACTAGGATGGAAGTTTTCCAACGATTATTTAATATATTACTTGAACATTGTAAAGTGACTGGAAGTAATCGACAGCATACTGAATAGTAAAATAAGTTATGTCATCTATATTTAGTCCTTAATGTTGATAAGATTCTATCAATCAAATTACAATGTGGTTCATAATCGAAGTAACTAAACACATCTGACGTGTGTTACATTTTAACTTAAGGTACTTAAATACATAGTGACTAAATATAAGTGCAATTGCGAAATACGATAAATGAATCAACTTTTGATCAGTGGTCAGAATGATATAAACCTCAATTGAAACAATAACATCTTGACACAAACATGCTGTGTGAATTTGTTTTAATCTACTATCAAGACTTTATTTCGATTCCCTTTATCTATCTGAGCAGATAAACATACTGACCATGTCAAGTTGATTTTATTACACCAGTGAATGCAGTGAGATTTGATCACTATAAATCTGTTAGTACTAAGAGGGCTAGGCAAACATGACAATGGTTACTACTACTGAGTTATTAAACAGCCCTTCAGTACCGTAGCAGATATCATGAAGTGACCTTAGTCAAACAACTACTAAAAACTATGAAACACAAGACAACACCCTCATTTTTAAATTTTAGACCTCTGATTCAGTATCCAGTGACTTGTATGTCCAACTTCAATTAATTTGCAATAATATGTAACTATCATTGATTACGATTGGCAATATTTATTTCATATTCGGCATAAATAGACCACCAATTATTATTAGGTTTATTCAATGTTATATTTTTGGTACAATATAGAATACTCAGCACAAAGTATTTCAGCAAATTTCCGTTTCTTATTTCTTGATCGATATTGACGATAAATATTGAGTGATCACCGGTTCGATATCAGCACTTCAGAAGTCGCCGTCTGAATAATATTCATTCTTTTCAATGCATATTGCCAGTCATCACGATGTCTCCGATTGTACATTTTTCTAACTTGTACAGCGAAATGTCGTAAACTTTTCACAAACGCACCTGAGCAGTTTATGCGGTTAGGGGACGTTAGATCCCCAGTATTCACTTGGAAAAGGACCTAATTTTATAGTTTTATTTAGAAAATTCGAATTTCTTCGTTTTCGTGCCAAAAGCGCCCTTTTCACCTTCACGTCGTATTTCCAACTTGGGAGAATCATAAACTCTATTGGTCCCTTGTGTCTTTTAGTATGCGATTTTGTGACGCTTCCCAAGGATGGTTTTGTGTTATATATATACGTTTTGATTTGTGTCTGTTGTTATCGCTCGTGCTTCTGGATTTTTGCGGAATATACTTCCCCGTGTCGACTTCGAATTCGCTCCCTAAATAGCGGGGCTGGGACACAATAGAATAGTTAGTTTATTGGTTTTTGGTCACAAGTCTTTGTTCCGTTCTCAGACTAAGTGAATTCTTAACCGCTTCAAACCTAGCACGGACATAATGGTGTGTTAAAATTAACAAGGAAATAGATAACTTGTTGAAACATCTAGAAGACAGGAACATGTAACCCAGATATTCAAGCAGGCCACGAGTAGGCCAATTGTGGTTTCCTACCAAAACTGTGGAAATAATCTCTCACAATAAGCCTCTAGTGATCACACAGTTGTCATGACTACGAGGAGTTTTCACAATTCAAATCACTAACCAATCATCTTGCAACCATTGGAAACTAGGAGGAAGTAGACAACTTTTCTACAGTCTCCACAAACCTCCTATTTTTACTTAGCTTAAATAAGCACAGTGGTAACATTTCTAACTATAACATGGGTATACATTTCATCACCAGATTGCAAGTATACTATGTTATTGAGTCCCATCCAGAATGGAATGTAGGTTAAACAGAGTTTCAAGCCGATTTTCTTTATATATCACACACTCTTGCTCTGATAAGTAAACTTTAAACTAACCTAGAGAGAAATACCTTCGTCAGAATGGAGATTTGTAGACATTATAGTAATTTTAGTAGTTGAATTCATGAGCCGATCTATGATAACCATTAAAATTAATACAATCTCCACAAATCTCCTACCGATAATAATCATGTGCATACCAATGACTAGCTTCAAGATTGATTTCCTGAATTTCTAGTGGGTAGTTGTAACCAATGGACTCTAGTCCGTGTCGGTTGGAAACAGTTATCTACCTTAAAAAATGGATGAAGGGTTCATGGATCGACTGAAGTTAGACATTAACACCGATAGATACCGACTCAGTGGTCTAGAGACCGAAGGTCCTGGGTACGAGTCCCTCGGGTGGGATCGTAGATGAGCACTGTTGAGGAGTTTCATTCTTGGAAGAAACGGCCATCCAGTGCTCCCAGGTTTCCAATGGTGTTTTAGCTTAGATCGATTTATGAATTTAACTGTTAAAATATTTTTGCACTAATGCATTAGATGTGATCCTAATTCTTCCAATGACAAAAACCAATGTCACTTTTCGAAATACCAGGTGACGGTGAAAAGAATAAATTTGGATTATTTAATAGTTACTCTATCAGTGAATTGAACTCTATTTAAAAAGTTCAAATTAGTCATGTCGAAAATTTATAAACTATTACAAGACTTCATTTAACACTACCATGGAAAGGACGTATCTTGGATCCCATATGACAACAATTAATACAATCCAAATTATTATAACCTGTACTGAAGTAGAGTTAGTTGAAAATATTCTCATAGAATAAAAAGTATCGAGCATTTAAGAATTTGAATTTTTAGGTGTAATTGCATATATTCACTGGAAAATTTTTTTTTAAAAGTCATAAACAGTTTTGTAGATGCTTTTACATATACCTCCCAATTAATGTACATAAACCCACTGAAAGACCTAGCAAATAGTATTGTCTGACAACATTCGAAACATCCAGTCTATGTAAACATCTTTATCTGTTCAGTCATCTCCATTCTGTAATCATGTCTGATTATTCATCAATAACTTGATTTATTGAAAAATCTACTTTGAACAAACGGAAGATGAATCCAACTTTTATGGATTGTTTCGAGTGAAATATACTTTATAACAGATTAACATTCCATTTGTTTTTGCATTTTCCATGGTCATATATATAGCTTACATTAGTGCTTTAACTTTGCAATTAAAATTATCAATCTTCCTTCTTGATCTTCACTGGTTTCGTTGGTGAAACACAGTTATACATTTGTGTGTTCCATCATTAAAACTTGTAAATAAAACAATCATTTATTTCAAAAATTTTCTGTTTACGGCATATAAGTTGATTGAACATTTATAGATCTTGTACGCTTTTAAATTCGGTGGTTATGTAAAAACACTATTTTAATTTAACGGTAATTCTTATCACTCAATGACAGCTGGGATACTGTTGTAAACAGGAGAGCACCAAACGGATAATTTAATCAATTATGGAACCCTTCGTACCCGATCACCTATGGCTAGAACCTGGGACTTTCAAACTACACAATGTTTAAGTTACTTTTAGACAGCTACGTTTACATGTGAAGATCGTTATTTCCGATTTCAATCAATTTGGAATACAGCGAGACGAATCCTGTCGAGCGATGTATAATTAATCCTGTTCCACTCAAAATTTACGAGCATGAACTCTAGTAAGTGGTTTCAAATAATACCACCTGTTCAAAATCGTTTACCTTCAGTTGTTCCTCAGCTGTTAACGGTATGTTTATGTATCTATCCTTTCTATCGTTTGTGTTAATAATTTACATTTATACAAATTTATGTGCATGTATGTCCAGGGGAATAATGTTATCAAATTCACATGTATGTATGTATGTATGTATGTATGTATGTAACAAAACAAGAGAAGACAATATGAATTCGGACAAACAATAATAATTCATTGAAACATTAAACAAAAATTTCCACCCTTCATAAAGCTACATTTATTTATATGAATATGAAAGAAGATTCTATTTTTATTTGCCAGAAAAAAAGTAAAAAACAATTGTTCTAACTTAGTATTTGTTACTTTTTAAAGTTTTATTTAGAATTATTATATTTAACTAAGCAAATATGCTGTATGGAAGCATAGATGTCTGCGCTCGTATTCACACACACACACACACACACACCTATATTACCTATAAAAATGTATCATATAGAAACAGAAGTGTTGAAAAATATCTGGTAATTAGATGGAAAAATTTCCCTAAATAGAAAAACGGAGAAACACATATTAATAACAGTAGAGATATTATATTTTACTAATGAGTTTTAAGTTTTATACAAACATGTAACTTGATCTAACATTTGGTCTGTTGTGCTTTTTAGTACATATATGTGTGTGTGCTTGATAGTCGCATTATTGTGGGTAGGTGGGTGGGCGATTGGTTATGCACGTACATGTATAGACCATATAGACAATGACAGGAAGAGAAACGGTGGTGAATTAAACTTATGATATAAAGTAAAATAAAAAAGTTTCTTAATAATTGAACAACTTATTAAAAAATGAATAAATAAAAATGATAAATTATCAGAATAGGGTAACATTTAAATGTAAAAATACAACATGAAATAATTTTGGTAGTAGTAGTAGTTGTAGTAGTAGTAGTAGTAGTAGTAGTAGTAGTAGTAGTAGTAGTAGTAGTAGTAGTAGTAGTAGTAGTAGTAGTAGTAGTAGTAGTAGTAGTAGTAGTAGTAGTAGTAGTAGTAGTAGTAGTAGTAGTAGTAGTAGTAGTAGTAGTAGTAGTAGTAGTAGTAGTAGTAGTAGTAGTAGTAGTAGTAGTAGTAGTAGTAATGTAAATTAAACTTACCTCATACCATTCAACTGGCTGACTCTAACATGCAGTTCATGTCTGATTTTCTTTGTTACATTATTTTCAGAGTTCAGGTTATCCGCATAAATTTTCTCAATGTACAACAAGTGTTCCGCATCTAGAATTTTCGTCCATTTTCCAGTCTATTTAGAGTATGAGCGGTGGATATCAGAGTATAGTTTTCACTTAAAAATCTTAAAGATTTCGAATGTCTGTGGTTATTTGCAGTTACATACTTTGAGCATTTCAGTGCAGTGTACCCTGATATCTCGATGAAATACACAAATATATTAAAAGTAAGGACTTCAGATGAAATTTACAAATAGAAAATCACTCTGACGCGCAGTACTCATCCATTAAATGAAGATAAATATATCTGAAATGTTGGATATAATACACTGATTGATCAGTGCAGATGACCTCAGTTATTTACAGGGTTTCACAACTGACTTTTATGTGCGGCATTACATATCAAATGTTGTGTCATTCAAAAAGATAACTAATAGATGTTTCAGAACAGCTTATGATTTACCGGCAGCACCCGTTGATAAGCACACATAGGACTGAACATTTGTTTTGCACTTTCTAAGGTCGGTGAGTTGATATATAATGGTTCATATTTTCAGTTTACAATCCATTAATAGTCCAATCAGAAATAAAATAACAATCCATTTATGACAAAGAATTTAAATGTTACTACATTGCAAATAAATAAATTTGGAAATGGCGGTAAGTTAGGTTGTCGACTGACTGAATCATCAGAGGTGATTTGTTCTAACATGGTTAAAACTCTTATTTCTGGTGAATATATATACAGTTAAAAGTAGTTGTGTAATAATGAGTTTGAATAAATCATATATATATATATATTGCTACAGATCAAATTGATTTTAGCATTCATATTGTCACATTTGAATGCATTGTATGATTAAAATTACCTTAAAGGCACCTAAGTAATTTTTATTCTCAAGTACAATCAATGTAAACTGAAAACATTTTAAAAAGAAAACCTGATTTATTAACATTATCCATAAATTATTTCAGGGGATATATTATCACTCGAAATTATCACTTAGGAAGTCTTTAACTTTCAAAATGTTAAATAAATCATAGTAGATAAACAAAAGAAGAAATAAATCCGTAATCCATCGGTCAATGTCTATGATATGTTGTTTAAAATGTTTAAAGGTAATCGATAAGAAACGTTGCCTGACATAAGAAACTAGTGCTAGTCACAATATTCTGTCTGCAATCTTCAGAGAATAGATGCTCCTCATACAATTCTAATCCATTACCACAAATATTGATCTTAATATTGGGCTAGTCAGTTCACCACTGTTCTCTCATATGGATAAAGTCATTCAAACCAATATATCAGTATATAGTAACCAATATCATATTTGTCTAGTCTTTACCTGCTCAACGCTTTTTGGCTAATCGTCTCCAGTTTCACTAACTTATGATAAAATATAAAGTGATCAAAGTTGCTCGTGTTAAATAGCTGTTTGTTATTCTTTTTCGTGAATTTTAATTATTCTTCAGTTTAAGACCACATTATAAACTAATTAGTAAATCTATGAACCACCCACTAGACGTATAAGCCATTAGATACTGGTCCAGTTATCCAAAGTACCGGTGCTTACTACGAAATATGGAGGTCCTGAGTTCGACGTCCTGTGACAGGGTCATAGATGAGCACGGCTGGGGAGTCTTCTACCAGTTTGTCCGAATCATGTTGGTTTATGATCTCAGCAACATTCAGCATTTTCCCAAACTGGGCTACCTGTTCCTGCCACCTAGATATTTCAGCAAGTTATCTATTTCCTCGTTTATTTTAACACATCATTATGTCCGCTAACCGCATAAACTGTTCAGGTGCGTTTGTGAAAAGTTTACGACATTTCGCTGTACAAGTTAGAAAAATGTACAATCGGAGACATCGTGATGACTGGCAATATGCATTGAAAAGAATGAATATTATTCAGACGGCGACTTCTGAAGTGCTGATATCGAACCGGTGATCACTCAATATTTATCGTCAATATCGATCAAGAAATAAGAAACGGAAATTTGCTGAAATACTTTGTGCTGAGTATTCTATATTGTACCAAAAATATAACATTGAATAAATCTAATAATAATAATACTCATAATAACAGGCTGATCTCAGTTCTGGTAGCATTAAAAACCAAGAATCGCCGGACTACTGTTTCATATTAGTACGAGATTCCTTATTATTGCTAACAAATCACCCAGACAGGAACTTAAGCAACCTAGGATTTCCAGACACTTAACTAGTAGAACCACTGGAACAGCGTCCATTAGTACAACTTCAACTTCAATCAAATAGTGATATTACGTGATGACCATTCGATGTCACTGATGAGAAACGTTTTATATAGGATTTGTGTGAACTCTATCAGTCACGAATTCTCGTTAGGACTTCAAGAACATCTTGAAGTTGTTAATTGCTGTCTTTCCAAAATTTCTGATTACCACTAATGGTGTGGCTTTTGATTATGGTTGCAAAATAACTGCCTTTTTCTTGTTTTTCAACGGTACAAGATTTAAATGACTCAAGTACTGAGGGATCCCATACTAGGACGAAACGGCCGTCCAGTGCTTCTGGGTTTTCACTGGTAGTCTACAAGTGATCGGTTCATGATCTCAATAAGAACTCAACAATCTCCATAACGCTCTACTGATAATAAATGGCATAGTCCATTAAATAACCATTATTACTCTCCATATTACATTTAACCCACCTTAAATACAAATGAGCACAACATAAACACATGTAATAATTTCCACTCAAAACTATAGTCCTTATAGTTTCATCTAATCGAACAAAGAATCGAATCTTTATTAAACCTATAAACTGTACATTTATCCAAATATCATACTGACATGTATTTATGATATCAACACACATACACATATACTTGTATTGAATCCGAATCACCACTCATCAAATATTACTTATTCATCTTACAAAAACAAAACTGTATTTAGTGTCTTCTCTCCAACTTTAATTGGACGGAGGTCCTTTAGAACAAAATTTCTTTGTGGTAGATACATCTACAAAAATGATTAAAAGATAATAAGAAAATTTTAAAAATCCAGCATCTTTCTTAAAGAATATTGGAGGAAAAATACACCTTTTGCATAAATGACATAATGGTGTATATGCGTATCAAAATCTGTAGACATTCTGCGATTTTCCCAAACACTATATACTAATGATAATTATGTGAAGACTCATTAGTGACTAACTTTTAGATGCCAGTCCAGGAGTTCTAGTGAGAAGCCACGACCAGTAGGGCTCAACAGTGTCTGGTGTGAGGAAGGTACCCTCAAATACAATGAAAGATGGCTATGAAATGTCGTGGATTGACTGAGAGTAGATTTTGTACACTACTGAATGCCGGCCTAGTGTTTTAATGCTTAAACGTAAACGTGTAAGACTAAAGCTAATAGATTCGATTCCATTTGGCGAGGTCGTAGATATGAACTGTTAAGGAGTCTCATACTAAAATGAAACAGTTATCTTGTGCTTTCTGGTTTTAAATGATTATCTAAGACCAGTCCGTGATTCAAAAATCTCCTTAAATCCCTTTATATTTAAACATCGTCTATTTTAAAATATCTTTTAATTATTTGGAAAAAAACCAAAGCAGATAACTGAATTTGTACAGATTACCTTTGTGTATTTTATAGACTTTGTCTTGTTTTACTCCTGTTTCCAATGGCAAGCAATATCATAACCAAAATAAAATGAAGCGTAATTTCGGTACATAAATTTTAAAAAAGTACACATTTTTAAAAATCATAATAATAAGTGTATAGTTCGTGACTTAAGTTTTCATGCAAAATGTGGTTCATTGATCGTTAGGCAGTTGTAGATAGTCGACAAGATACCTTGCTTGACATGATTTCCTTGCTAGTTGGCACTTGGCAACAGAGCTTACCTACAGTCTTGAGGAAACTGATAGTCTACTCTGTGAGGTTCGGACTTACATCAAAATAATTAATGATGTTCACTTTTAGTATTCATGTTCATGGAGTTGTATATGCGTATTTATGTATTTATTTGTCTGTCCATCTCTATGTCTTAGATATTTAGAGATAGCCAAGAGAATTCACTAAACCTGCGTTTCCTTCCTAACTGACAGTCATCAGCATGGCATATTTGCAGTCATGAAACGACTGATTTCTCTCATCCATGGGATTCAAATCTGTCACCCAGTGACACAAAGGGATTACTGCAGAGATAACTCGGATCACTACTGACTTTTTGTAAGACTGATGTATTTACTAAGATTGGTCACAAAGTAGTAAAGAATATCATTTTCATTTAGTCTTTATAGCTGATCAGATTCTGCTGATCTAGTCATGTAGGTTTAGGTCTCATAAAGACCATCAATCTTGTCGAGTTTTTTTGATACTCATTTTTAATTAGTGTTAGCTAGTAATAAAACATAACGAATATGAAATAAAAGTCCACGGTGACTTCCAGAGATCAACAAAATCTTAACCAACACTTGAAACTAGACTATAAGACATCGACAACTACTAACAATATAAATATATCTGCAAACATTGCTGCACGCACATGGTCACATGCGTATTTGTATGTACGTATTTCGATTCACTTTGATGTTTCAAAGTTGTTTTAACAAGAGAAATTTACGGAATATATTAAAGTATAAATTCACCATCATTCTTGACATTTATTTATTTATTCGTAAAACTATTATTTTGTTTTTGTAACAAACAAACACGTACACCTCTACCCAAATAAGAGCATATAAATAAATTTCAAAGAAAAATTATAACAACAATAAATTTATCACTTTCTCTGAAATATATGCATGTTATTTTGATTCACTATCTCATGTTATATTATCAAGATATTTTTTAATGTTCACGTATAATTTCTTAATTAATTGGTTGTTGTAGTGCACAACGTGTTACTGCTTTTGCTAGAGCTATTCCCTGTAGTCAGTTCTGCGTTGATGACA